TAAGTTCCAGGTTTAAGTAAACTGGTGTTTATAGGGTTTCTTATGTGTTCTTTGTTATAGTAATTTTATGTTCCCAGTGTTATTAATCCAGTGTTTAGGATTTTTAATGCGTTCCGGGGTTTAGCATTCTCTGGCGTTCTGCCGTTCCGCCGTTCCTGGGGCCCGTTTCTCGAAAGCCCTGGAAAATTTTTGGGCCCGCAAAGCCATTTTTAACTAACCTGTATCTACAAACAGAGAGCTGTATACGCCTGAAACTTCTTGTATGAAGGAAACCTCTGTTCACATTAAGGATATACGCGAATAAAACAGCTCTGTAATCATAAGGCTTAAGATTTTGCTTTGGGTTTCCGGGTGCGAAAGGTTTTCGGGACCTTCGAGAAACTGGCCACTGTTTTCAATACTACAAACCAAAAGGAAAAATTATCACTCAACCGACCTACTAACCCATGCAGCTTAGAACAATGCTGTTTTCCCGCCGGGTTAAGAAACCTACAGTTACGTTTGCCATCAACATTTCACAAATCACTGCCGGCAATGGTCCTCGGTCCTTCCTCTTAACGCATTTAGTCCCAGACCCCACACCAGACGACGTATATTCAACTGCCATGGCCACAAACAAATACACCCAGATTCAATGCAGGTAACATTAATATATATTTTAATATAATTAGAGATGTTGGCAGAGACCTACATAGCTACAGCTGGATGTACCACACTTCCGAATTCGGTTCTTCAACTTTGCTAATGTACATAGCCAACTGGTTAAACAGCCAGCAGCTAGTAGGGGTAACATTTTTTTTGTTGTAATGATTATGACACACACTGGTTACAATAATATTATACAGCTACATACACTGCTTACAAGGCTAATACAGTTACTTACACTATTTACAATACGTCTTATTCAATATGATCACTTCCACCAGTTACAATAATAAGACGTACACTTCTCACATTACTTAAAATACGGTACAGTGACTTGCACTACTTACAACCCAAATGCCACGATCACTTACGCTACTTAAAATGCTAATACTTGCACTACCTACAGTACAATACGATATCTCATTTTGCGTACAATACTAACCCTTACAGTACTTGCCCATTTTGCAACACATTTCGATTACTTAGCCTAACATGATCCAATGCCTCCGTTTTCAATACTGCTTCTTTCTGTTTACAGCTTACACAATTAGCAACTAAGTTATTTTATAATACTACTTGTAAGTGTTAAAGTATATAGCATCCTTTATAGAAATATTGCAATAGGTATGAGTTTAACAAGGGTTAGCTAACGTTTTCTCGCTTCCTCGTTCTTTATGTTGTTCTTACGTTTTATCCAAAACTCGTTTTCAGCGGATCGCTAACATTTTGAAACAACTGAACGGATATGGGATAAGAAAGGACAAGGTTTAAAACTGTTTTTGTTTGTAGCTTTTGATGAAAGATTATTATCTACGCGATGTTTGGCTTTGTCTCAACTAGTTCTGTCTAGGATTGAAGTCATGATAATAAATATTCCTTGTTTTTGCTTTTTGTTTTGTTTTGTCTTGTTTCTTTTTGGTTCTTTTTCGAGTTAAATATGGCCTTTTTTACGTCTATTAGAAAGTTCTCGTCCATACTGTATCTAAGAGTAGAGGTATCTGTCTCTTTCTTGAGGGTTGTGTTCATCAGCTTTGGCCAACAAGTTGTAGTAGGGGTGGGACTCGTCGTGCTTGCTTAATTACAAATCACAATATGGCACATCCCTCGTCATATTCACCTCCAGTCGGTCAATCAACTCTGAGAAACTGGGACGAGAGGATGGATCTTCTTTCCAGCAGTCAGACATCAGTTCATATCTGTCATGGATTAGCAGATGACAGTCAGTCTACAATAATTATCATATACAGTGTGTACATGTCAATCTACAACCACGTATCAGTCTTAAAAGAAGGTTAATAGAGATAAGTGAATAAAGATGGCGAATTTTAAGCTCGGTAATGAAATATGAAAAGTGAACTGATCAACATGACACGAGCGAGGGACAAAGAGAAAATCTGAGTCCCCGACAGCCGGATCGAACCCACGTCTCCCGATCGAACACCGGGCGGGTGCTCTATCCTTTGAGGTACGAGATGAACTCTACATACGAACTCAGTTAAATGACCTCAGTTAACTGACCTTGCTCTCCATGACTTCTCGTAGCTCAGTGGATAGAGCGCCCACCATGTGTTCGGGAGGTCATGGGTTCGATTCCTGTCGGGGACTCAGATTTTTTCTGTGTCCTAAGCTTGTGTCATGTTGATCAGTTCACTTTCCACAAGGTTAATAGCGTAGGACTCTACCAAGTTAGCTACTTACACTTCATTACAACACATATCAGGCCTTTCCATGCGATAACCAGTCTTCAAAAGTCTATACAGCTCTGAGTTACTCAACGTGGGATAAGGAACACCTCCTGAAATGCATTAGAAAAAAAAAAGTTATGTATCAAATTGTTTGTGAGCCACTGAACCCAGAAAATGAATTATGAGAGAGTATTGAGAGCATCGATTTAATTACTGGTCATGGAGTCCATTCCTGGGAATTTAGTAATTTAGCGCTTAAATAACACCTAACAGCTCTAACAACTTAGAAAACAAAAAAGCGCAAATAATGTCATCACGATTAATTAATGCGAATATATTCCTGAAATAAATGAAGAAAGAACTGAAAAATAAAAAGTTAATATTTATTTAACTTACCCATGGTGGCCATTTCCCAAAGAAGTATACCAAAGGACCAGCTACACGAAAATATAAAAGATCAACAAGAGCAGTGTTGTAAGTACATATACTAGGCAAAACTATAATACATTCATTACAGTTACAAGCTGCCCATCGATCAACTCTTACGCTTCTTTCGTGCTCTCTTAACCCCCCGGGGGCATACTAACTCGATAATACAAGCTAAAGCATGGGTCAATCATTAATTTGCCATATACTCCGTGGTAAAACAAGGTACTGGGCAAGGAGTTGTTAGATCAAAGTTACCTCAAGGGATCAACAAGCGGCCACTACACCCGAGAAAGAAAGGTTTCCTAACATTATACGTCAGAGAGGAAAGAAAAATGTTTAGCCTTTCACAGAAAGATTGACTTACACGTCACTCTTGATGGTATAAGTGCTGTCAAAAATTGATTCTGGGGCCATCCATTTTACAGGAAGCTTCTTCGTGTTCTTCCCGCTGTACACGTCCTCATAGATTTGCCGCATCAATCCAAAGTCTGACACTTTGACTCGGCCATCATTGCCAACCAGAATATTACGGGCTGCAAGGTCACGATGAATTAAGTCTTTCTCTGCGAGATGATTCTAAAAAAGAATCGTGAAAGAGATGAGGACAGAGAACACTTAATTAATGGCAACATAAATTATGCTGCTTTTCAACACTAAGCATTTTGTTATATATTTTTTTTCTTTTGTTTAACACTTTGTAAAAATCCTTTGCAACAGTCCTTTCCTGGAATGTTGGTTTCGCCCTTGGAAAGGACGATCTTCCTTGACTTCTTCGCTCGATCGCGTCTTCGTCGCTCTAACATCGACCTCGCCCTCTCACTTCGGGTGTGCGGATAACTTTTCAGCGAAGGATTAAGTGAGGGTCGACTTGAGGCTAGTGTGTTTGAAATAATCAATGAGCAGCTAGATTTCACAGGATTCGTTTAGACAACCTTTCCCGCGGGAGGAAGTCGAGAGTCACTTCTGAAAAGTATCGTAGTTTAGCGATGTACCAAGTAGTTATAGCAATGCCTACCATTCCCTTTGCTATTTGCCAAGCAAAAGAAAGCAGCTTTTGAGCATCAAAGCTATCTGTTTCTTCTTCATCGTCATAGCTATCATCATAAACACTTTCAGTTGATATGGATATGCCAGAAGAGTTGCTGACTCCATGTGATGTCGATGGTATCGACAGCATCTCGAAGTTTTTCTCATCCAGAAAATCGTTACTCGTTTCCTCAATAGAGAAGGCAACATAAAAGAACACCACTTAACAAATAATGATTGCATTCGGATACTGAAGAAAAATAAATAAATAAGTAAATCGTGGTATTTTGCACTGCTGTGCTAATTGGGTACACTATAATTTTGGAAACAAATATTGTAAATGGAAGTGAGAACTTCTTAAAATGAGTAAATGATTAGTATTTTATGGGAGCTCCGCTTCTAGGCGTGGCTAAATCTATGTTATGTGCAACCAACGAAATTTCGTGAATATCCTTTATAGCCTCAAGGTGCAAGCAGTTTTAAAAGCTAAAAACTACTAAGGAAATATAAAAAAGCAAACCATTTCTGTTCTCAATTTCTTACTTTTGAAAGATTCCCAGAGGACATGGTTGTACCAAGGGTGATATCTCTGTTATCTGGTGACGGAGGCAACTCTATCATCTGCAAAGTTTGTCCTGGCAGTGGTTGATTGATCTCTTTCTGATTATGGTCTTTTTCCTGAATGGCAACAGTATTGACCTACCATAAAATACAGGTGTTAAAATCTCCCTTTATTGAAAATCATGCGCAAACCAGTGTATCAAAATAACTTCCTCTGGCACGTTAAAGCGTGTCGCTGAATATAAAGGAATGCAAGTCATGGTTTTGCATTTGAATAACGCTTGTTTCAATAAACTTGCCACGTCGTTAATTTGCCAGAAATATTCTATTCTTGGTAATGTACCTTTCAAAGCTAATAAATTAGCTACACTTTACGTGGGAAGGCAAAGAATAAGTAAATTTGTAATTTGAAAGTAACATTTGAACCGTTCAATGCATTTGGAAATATTTCAAATAAGTCCTCATACATTCATTCCGTTCCTTCCTTCGAGGTCTCTTCCTTCCTCTCTTCTTTTCTACCCTCTTTTATTCGTTCTTCCTTCCCTTCTTTCCTCTCTCCCTTCCTCCCTCTCTTCCTTCATCTCTTCATCCAACCCTCCACTGATTTTCCTACCAACACTCACTACCCACCCATCAACCCACGCCAGCTAACCATAAGATATCACAAATGACAGGTTACTTCCTTCTAGGATTTAAATGTTCCATTCTCACGGCTCTACACAATATACAACATCCCGTTTCCCTTCCGCGGGTAACACTTTCGTGGAGTCAAAGGCCGCAGAACTTGCAGGTAGCACCCCCTCTCACTTCCTAGTTCTAGAATCCCAAGACATGTCCGTTCAGAAATTGGTTTAATTCAAGGCACCTACTTGCCCACATCCGCTCTCTTCTTCTCGAGAATTAAACGTCTCTTTATCTTCATAACACTTTCTCTCCTCTTTATCCCCAGTAGTCTGGTTTTGATTGTTCTAGAGTACAATGAACAAGATTAGTTCATAACTGTACTAGCAAGATGGGTTTGAACGTGGAAGTAATTCAAGTTACTAAAGTAAGGAATGAACATTATTGGATGGACACTTTTGCTGTGTCTGGAACCGCACACAGCCTAATTGAGAGACATCTAGCTATTGGAAATCCTCTAACTGCAGGTTGAATTGTTAACTTTGATAGATTGGCAAGAACCCCATTTAATTAGCTCGAACTATCTCGGGAAGGCCTACGTCACCACCGCTTGGAAATAAAATTAATATCAACACATTACCACCATACAATTGAAGCATCACCAAATTAGTGAATATTCTATTAGCAAAATCCTTACCTTTTGTCTTCTGCGTCGTAACCAATGCAACAAGTCACCAAAAGGAACATACTCTATCACCAGGAATTTGGGCTCCTGCAAAGTGCAACACCCAACCAGGGACACAATATTCTGATGTGCACCCAACAGCTTCATCTGCTCGATCTCCTGCAAGAACTCCTCTTTTTGTTGTTCGCTTGGATCATCTGAGCACAAATGCTGCAGTTAAATTCCCATTTGCAACTAACAGAGGCTTTAAACACCAGAATCATCAAACAATCTGCATTTATTAGGCTTTACGTCAGTCGTGATCTACTGAACGGTTCGACATAAAATTAATTGACTTGCATAGGTGTTGTATGAAATAGGACTACCTGCCACCAAACTATCAAGGAAAATTGCTTATGTGCTATAGTTCTTAATGCCAACTTGACACTAACGAATTACAGTTGGCGTTCTGTCTGTAAAAGACCCAAAACTTCCAGCCTAAAATGGGTCAAGTCGTTGCAAATCATCGAACGGAGAGAACTACCCTAGTGTAAAGATACGCCCCTTTGTGCATGAATTTGTAAAGTGACTGCAATTACCTTGCAACACTTTCACAGCAACCACCTGGCATGGCTCCTCTGGCTTCAGTATTTTTTCAGTGTCAAATACTTCTATCCCAACTCGTCTTTTTAGACTTGCTTTGTAAACCACACCAAACGCTCCTCGGCCCAGCTCTTCCCCGTATTCTATTTGCCCTGGAAGGAGTTCCCACTTGTCAAGTGGGATAATTTCGCGAGCTGAACGTGATGGTCTGTGGAAGATGGGAAAATAGTTTAGTCACCAAAACATGTACAGTTCATATCATGGACTAGTAATAGTATAGGACACTTTGTTACTTTAATTGCTCGTCACTGGTCTAATCAGAGGTGATGGAAAGCAACCATTCTGTGTATAAGTTCCAAAATTCATGATAAGCTTTCCAATGGTAAATACTGTAGCTATGCACACACTAGTAAAGCTATTCCCAGCCTCCGAGCGTGAATCCTTGCTCGTCTCGATGACGTGTAAGTCCCTTCTAGGTTACCTTTTGACCTAACCTCGAGCAGGCGTTCATTTTTCTCTCGTTTGCCCAGAAAAGCAACGCCCGACCGCAGATTAGGTTGGCCTGGCACCTAGGCGACCCTATTTATACCACAAGGTGGCGGAAATCATTCCAAAATTAGATGATGTGCTTAGGAACACAGCTCAGTGACCCTTGGAGAACGCTCCAACCTGGGCCATTAGGTCTAGAGTTTTACGCATACATCAGGCCAATCCGTCTCTAAACAGTTTGCTTAACATTTCATATCCCTTCCAGCTCTGAAAAACACAGTTCAAGGTTCAACTATGATTATTTGTCTTGTGGTCAGTAAGGTAAAGGTCAAGTCTGCATACCGGCGAAGTGGCCCCTCTGGCCGGAGCTCGTCCCGGTTCTGTAACATGAAGCGACTAGGTTTATTTTTACGTCCCCCTAGATGGGATGCTAGTCCATCACAGAGTTAACCCCAACATTAAATTCCCGGTACCCAGTTATACACCTGGGTGAAGAGGGGCACTGTGAGAGTAAAGTGTCTTTCCCAAGGACACAGCACAATGACCCCGGTCACCATGAGGCCATGAAAGTGGGGCTATTCTTCGCGCTTAAGATTATAAATTTAAGCAAATAAGAAGCTTTAAGTAGGGAAAGTATATAAGCCTCGCATGTCAAAGCAATGCCTGCTTGGAACGGAACCGCGGTGTATTGTACCACTTCCACGATGTTACGCAATATTTAATTTTTCGTATTCTTAATAGAAGAAAAAAAAAAGCTACCGCATCGATCGATTTACAGGGCTGAAGTTAGAAAATAAGCTCAGTTTCATAAGAATTCGTCGCAAGCACATAAAAATCTGGGAACCCTAACTTGCCAAGTTTTAAAACGAAATCATGCCAGGAGGCAAGCGTTGTTCCCTGGTGCACCGTTCTTTGTAAAATATGGCAATTTTGGGGTCCCATATTTCCATGCGTTTGCAGCGATTCTTATTATATTTGGCTGATAAATCTGATGGTAAGGTTTTTTTGTTGTTGTTGTTTAAATTCAAAAAAATAAAAAAAATAAATAAAATGGAAAAGTGTGACTTTGTCGAAGTGTTCCGTTACAACGTCCATTCATGTAGTTTCTAGCCGCTCCCGTTTAGAATAACCAATAAACGTTTACGTTTCATGGTAAGGAGTAAACAGTGAATAACTGACCTTTTCACTGGCTTCGGATGAAATCGTCTGTAGCACCATAAGCTTAGAATGAAACAAAGCACCAGAAACAGAACGATGGCAATGCCAGAGGCGATGTAAATTATTGGTTGAACAACTGACCGTATAACAGTTACTGCAAAAAGCATAGTAAACTCAGTGTTAGTAATGGGCTATACTGGAAAAGTACTGGCTAACCAAAATTCCGAAGGCAGCCAAAATTCAGTTGAAGGAAGCTTTAGGCCTTATTTTGATCTTTATTTTGTTTGAACAAGCAAGTCTACCAAAAGCGAGTGCAACTGTCGATGCACATTTTACATTGTGTTTCAATATATAATCTGTTCAGACTATCAAATATATATCTGAACAGAAAGATTAAAGTGATTTCTAACTCAGATATCGTCGCCATTCCATGTTACCGACCTCAAAGGAAATAGTGAGCCGTACATGTCAGGTTTCACTATCAGTCATAACTCTAATACTAAGGAAGTTTTAACCCCCCCNGCAAACCGATCCCACAGGCCCCAAACAAGATTCGCCATGCACAACGCCTACGTCAATTTTTGGCTGATCAGATCTTTTACAGGTCCTACTTATACTAGCAGCATTTCCATTCGTGATCCCTTGCTATATTTACGGTCTACACCCTTTTAGCAGCTTCTTTATGTTCCCACTTACCAGAACGAGCCAGAGTAAAAACTAACAGATATCCTCTTCTCTGTATATCGTCGTCTGAGTGAAATATTATTCGTACTTGGTCCCCAGTTACAAGAACATTTTCGCCAGTCTTGTTCCCACAATACACACCAAATGTTTTGTCCATTCCGTCGGTAATCCGCAAGTAGTCTTTGCTGAAAAGAAAGAAAAACTGAGCTAAATAATGTTATGCACCATCTGAAAAACTTGTAACCCTAATGAAAAATACCGAAAAATAAAATTTGAATTTTATAAAATGTATATACCCGAGCGTTGGTCACTTTGTTTTACTCCATATGAAGTCACTTTTCAGGCACACATATAGCACGATCATACTGGCATAGAAAGGTGTAAGAAGGTCTTATATTTTGACCTTATATGGTCAATCAAATATTATGCTTGATCTTATATGCATGATCAAATGGCGTAATAATTAAATGCTCGATATTTTGAAATATGTTCATGACATTTTGAAATAAAACAATTCAAGAGCATTTGCTAATAAAGCTCGAAACAGCTCATTAGGCTATGACTGCATTTGACACTTGAATCCTAATGAATCCAGTCCAAATGCATAGATCCAGAATAGGTAGAATCTCACCAAAAGCGTAATGCCATTGCATGATGCAAAGCTACATATTGGATAAATGTACCTAATTAACTCTATACTCGCATTTGTATCACTTACTTGCAATATGGAGTGTATTCCACGTCAAAATCGTGAAAGAAAATGTTCATCGACCAGCCTTCTGGGATAGGATACATTGAAGTATTGTCAAAATTCCTTGTGTAGCTCTCGGGATATCCCTCACTGGTCATTACGTCGAATATATCTGGGCCAGACGCTGTTAATACCAAGGTAGTTTTTTTT